CACGTTTCCTAACAACGCTGCGGGCGTCCTGGTAGAACGAGACTAGAAATACTTCAGTATTTTTATTTCCTTATAAATTAATTTCTGTATACATCTGTATAATAAAGGTCTATAGGCATAGACCAAAGGTGTAAGTGTATATTTGGGCTGAAACCCGTCAACTTTTGCATAATATACACCTGCTGCCAAAGGACAGACTGTAGTAGTTTATATTGGTGCTGTAACTTACCATACTAACAGCTCGTTAGTACGGATTTCTGAATGAAAAGGTGCTCAAGAACTCCTAACACTTGCCACAAATGAGATCTTTCCTACGAGTATGGAGGTTTTCAAGATGCTCAACAGTGTGAAACGTGTCTGTGAGTGGAAAAGCACCTGAAATCAAGGCTTAGCTCAGACAAAGCGATTAGGTAGCGAGGGAAGCATGAATAAATCCAAAGTTCACGTGTAGATTGGACGACTCCGAGGAACCCTCTATTTCTTCTACAATTTGAGCTCTCACCAGGTCAGTACTTGTGGGGAAGTGACCATCGAGGGACTCGCAATAGTAGGAGGCCTAAGGAATACTTTCAGTCTAGGTGGCTTCTTATGCCTTTAATGACAATGGAGAAGGAATATTTGTCACTTTTCGTTGGCTGAGAATATCGACGGACCGACTATTCCAGAACGAAGCAAGCAGGCTAGCAGAGGCAATTTTTGTACTTTACATAATTCGCCACCCTTAAAGGCGCACACGCCGAACCCCTCTAGCCCGACGTACAGAGTGCTTTTAAATTAACATAAGTGTGGCATTCACTGATTTTTCCTAGTTTCGGCATTCATCACTAGTTTGAAATCTACTCCTGGGGTCTAATCTGTTGCTGTGGTGACTAATGTTTAAGAATTAGTACCGCAGAGACAAGGGCGGTGGAGATAGCAGTCAGTCGCTTCCTATACTTCAACCAGTAACAGGAAGATCTTGCGTTTGGGCGCATCTGCTCAAGTTATCGTTTGCAACAACAAGGTAGAACGAAACGTTTTTGTTTTCCTCCGAAAATGGGTGTGATCAACAGAAGTAGTTTTCACATAGGTCGGAATATTTACTTATTACAGGCCACAGCACCTGCGTCTGTGGCCAAACTAATAAAATTTTGTCTGGTCCCACAACCAACTGGCTCCGATCTTAAATCTCATACACCTTCATTCTAAGGCCATAAATGGGAACCAGAAGAACAGAAACTCACCACTGTCTTCCTGACTGCAAAGGACGGTCTCGTATTCGTTGGGATCCGTGGTCTCCAAGGTGGACCCCCTCACTCCCGGTCGTTGCTGTCGTCGTCGACGCAACCAGAAGGAGAACGTAAAGTCACGCTCAAAAAGGTTGCTTGGCAGGACGTCATTAACTGGATTATAGTAGTCATCGCCAGTGAGGCGAAGCTGTTGAGTTCTGGCAGCCAGACGCAACTGTTCAGCATCAACTCGCCAAACGGAGTGTGCACTGGCGTCGAAACGGAGGGCTGATGAGATGGGCAAGACCTCGGGCAGGGCTCCGATACGCGGCGGAATAAGCTGGCTATCCAGACTGGCGTTTGCGGAGGGCAGGAGATTGATGATGGTGGCAGGATTCACATCTGAAGTAGGGCGAAGGCGGGGGTCAAACAGTTTTCGTGGAGAACTTAATACACTATTGACAAGCTAAGGTATTATGAAAGGAACGTGGGAAATTTCGTCGGCATGAGGCATAACATCGACAGACTTGAGATACTGACCAAATCCATGGAAGGAAACGATATTTCCATAAAAATTCCTGGGGGCTGGATGCAGGCCTATTGCAAGTACCCTTCATCTAATTCCCAATGAAGATGGGTGTTGGCTAGACCAGACGCTCCGCGTGAACGACACTGTTTC